TTCTGTCCAAAATTTTTGTAAAATCAGGATCCATCTCTCTATTCCATAACCTTCAATAGTATTAGAATGCATCCCACTTTATAAAAGATATAGGGTCTGAGGTATGCACTCCAAGCTTCTCCAGGTAGGAGTACAACGCATGGGAACTCTTTAGACCAAGAAATCTGACCATACCAGGAAATTTCCTCAGATCAGAAACTCTCTTCAAACCAGGGAATCTCCTCATACTAGGAAATTTCCCCGAACCAGGGAATCTGTTCAGACCAAAAACTTTCTTCAAACCAGGGAATCTCCTCATACTAGGAAATCTAGACCAAGGAATCTTCTCAGACTAGGAAATTCTCTCAAACCAGAAACTTTCTTCAAACCAGGGGATCTGCTCGGAAATCTCTTCAGACCAGAAAATCTACTCACACTAGAAAACTTCCTCACACCAAGAAATCTGCTCAGACTATGAAATCTCTTCAACCCAAGAGATTTCATCAGACCAATAAATCTATCAATGCAGGGAATCCCATTAAACCAAGAGATCTCATCAGACCGGGAGACCTCATCAAACCAGGATATCTCATGAACCCAGGAGATCTCATCTATCCAGGGTATCGCATCACACCAGGAGATCTCATGAAACCAGGAGATCTCATCAAACCAAGAGATCTCATCCAACCAGGATATCACATAAAACCAAGAGATCTCATCTAACCAGTATATCACATCACACCAGGCGATCTCATCAGACCACCAAACTGGGAGATTTCATCAGACCCAAAGATCTTGCGAACCCAGGATCATAAATATCCTACCAGTCTCAGAGCTCTTCTCCATTCTTGATAAACAGGATCAACTAATAGCTCTCTAGCTACACCCTTGTCCGCGCAAGACGCCAAAACCAAGAAAGGAATTGTCATTTGGAACGCATAAAACATTCTATTTTATATATCTATATGTAGTTCTATATAGTTAAGAACCCTTTTTACTGGCACCAAAACTGAGAAAGAAATTATCATCAGTTTCATCAGACTCATCTATACCAGGGTTTGGGAGCAAATCGGGATCACCCATCAAACAGTGATCGCCCATCAACTCAGGATTAAAACTCATCTCAGGAATACAACTCCTCTCAGGATCACAACTCAGCTCAGGATCTCCATTCCTCTTAGAATCTCCGTCATTCTGATCTCCATTATGCTTAGGATCTCCATTCTTCTTAAGATCTCCATTATTCTTAGGATCTCCATTCTTATTAGGATCTTCATTCTTCTCAGTATCTCCATTATTCTTAGGATCTCCATTCTTCTTAGGATCTCCATTCTTCTCAGGATCTCCCATCATTCTTATCCATTCTTCTTAGGATCTCTATCATTCTTAGGATCTCCATCATTCTTAGGATCTCCACTATTCTTAGGATCTCCATTCTTCTTAAGATCTCCATTATTCTTAGGATCTCCATTCTTATTAGGATCTTCATTCTTCTCAGTATCTCCATCATTCTTAGGATCTCCATCATTCTTAGGATCTCCATTCTTCTTAGGATCTCCATTCTTCTCAGGATCTCCCATCATTCTAAGATCAGCCATTATTTTAAAACCAGACATCAAATCAATCATTCCATTATCTGAACATCAGCCATCATCTCAGCATTAACCATTTCCTCACCATCATTCATTATTTTGGCATCAGCCATTGCCTTAACATCCGCTATCATCTTAGCATCAGTCATCATCTTAACGATATCATTCTTTTGACACTGGCTCAAATAGACATGCTCAGCTTATAAGCGTAATTACTTTTTCCATGATGCCTGTGTTATAAGAACTCGGCAGGTTCTTTAGAAAAGGGTATTAATTCCACCACTTTAAATCCAGTTTGACACCTTTCTCTATTAAGGAGTACTCACAATGCTCAATTGTATCCTCAAGGTTGTCTTCCACCTTCTCTCTCATGAAAAATACAGCATTCGTCATGGGCCTGACTCCTGAAAATGACTTATGAGGACCTGCGAATATGATCATTGACCCATATATATATCCTTGAAAGGACTCCTGTTCACAGAAACCCCAGAGCTCAACCTCTTGATCAGTACCGGATCCAGGTTAGTATTCTAAATCCCCAAGAGCAAATCTACCTTATGATCCTCCAACTCTTTCAGGTAGAATCTCAAGTTTCTCAGTCTTGTTCGCCTCTGCAAGGTATTCGTCTCGGATTAAAGAAAAGTTGTAATCATCAAATCCAGAAGTAATGTTATCCAAATTGCAACACACACAATCTCATGGAACTCTCCCTGCTCCCCCAGACTCAGATGAAATCTATATGTTCCATGTTGGGATTTCACCTTATTTCCTCCAACTACTGTCAAGCTCACAGGGACACTGCATACTTAACTTGTAATTTCTCCTTTTCAGCCAAAGAGCCGTCAATTATGTGGATATTCGCTCCTCTCTATCAAAGATAACTAAATGCCTCAGAATCTCCAATCTTGATAGTCTGCATCAGGTAGCAGGAGTGTTTACCAACATCGTACGGGGGACCATGGGGGCGTACGAGGGGTCCGCCCTGGGATGACACCTACGGCCCATGGGGGGGGGGGGCTCTTTTAATATTACATCTGCTTGTATTTCCCAACCAGGCTTTGCAACCTGGCGCGTTTAAATATTCATTCTGATATACTGGATAGAATTTCAAACAAAAAAATATTGAAAAGATTTTGTTGAAAAAAACCCAATTTTTTTTTATTTTGGAGGCGCGGTATTCTAAAAGCTTTTCATTATCGTTTTTGAAAAATCACTATGTAAATTTCTTTTTTATTTCTTTAAAGTTCACAAACCTATATAACAAAGCAGTTTTATTAATATAAATGCATTTCTTGCTTCAGAAACCGATGGAGAAATAAAGGTTTCTAAGGTACATCGAACTGCCTACCAGTGCCACTCTATAAATAGATTATGGAGGGTCACTTGAAATTATGCATGTTCTTCATTTAAATATAATATTACATTGTATAATGAAAAATAGTTTAAAATCTCACTTTTGCCCTTAACTAAAAAAAGAATTTCATTATAACAAAAGCTTTATTCAATATACTCCTTTAAGTGTAAATATATATTTGATATAATATAATACAATTATGCATCAATCCTATGAAAACATAGATATTTTATAAGAAATGTGTCCCCCACCCCCTACAAAATACTAGCTCAGTCCAACTCTGGCGAAGTCTGTCGTATTCGTCGTATATACGTGCAGTCGATCGGTTATTTTGCCAGCTGGGTATAGTGCAGATTAACCCTATCCCTGCTGGGGTACTTGAAAACCAGGATATGCTGGGGGGGGGGGTCAATTTGACCCCCCCCCTCTAAATCCCATGTTTGATGTCCAAATATGACAAATCTTACATCATTGGAAAGCTCTTGTGCTCTACTTTTAGAATCTGCAAAAAAATTTGCAAATTTGCAAAAATTGAATTTTTTATCGCAAAATCCAGTTATATAGTAAAAATGTTTGCAAAAAAAAATTTGTCCAAAAAATAAAAATTATACATTTTTGAAAAGCCCTTGACCATGCCATTTTAAATATGCAAAAAATTTTGCAAAATTTTAAATAACCTGATTTTTAATCAAGAAAAACTAAAAATGTGCAAATTTTCTTTGACAGGTTGTTTGCAAAAAAATTGCAATTTTTTTTTTGAAAAACTTGTGCAATCTGTTTCCTTATTTCATAGGCTTTCCAAAAAGCTAAATTTTATCAAAATCTGACAAGTGAAAGTGGGTCAAAACAAAGATTTAGTTTGTTACAGGAAAAAGCAGTCATTCAGGCAGTTAGTATTAAAGCCCGGTTTTAGGCCTAAAGGGAGGGCTTTGGGTATGTAGGAAAAGTCAGAAAATTTCAACAGCCTCAGACCAATACTTTTAGAGTTATGTAAAAAAAAACTACAGGGGGGGGCAATTTGACCCCCCCCCCCAGCAGGAATAGGGTTAAATAATTGTGTATGGTCGAGTATGGTGAACTGTTTGTTTCGTAACAATTCATCAAATACACTTAACTATTGCAATAATGACATCTTTCTATTCCGTTCTTTTTAGTACTTATCTTTGTATGTTTAAGAGTAAATGGAGGATCGCACGGGTGTGGCTTGCCGTCTCCCCCTCGCCCGGCCTATTCTGTACCTTATGCCGCGGCGCTCGACCTCTAGCATGCACCTGTAGCCGCAACGCTCGGCCCCTAGCCTGTCCTAGCCGCCAGCGCTCGGCCAAGAACAATTACCGTAACCTAACCTATAAACCGCGCGGTCAATCGCCGTATCTTATTCTTTTTTTATGTATTAAATAAAAATACTTTAAAAACATGATGGGAAGTTTAAAAATTTAAAAATTAATTCGATAGAATATATATTTGTTCAAAAGAACTAAAACCCTTTTGAACATTAGTCCAAATGAACTTAGTCCAAACGAACGTTAGTCCAGTTGATATTACACCATTTAAAGAAAATTTAAAGTCGTCTTTGTCATCGCCATTTATAAATTTCATAAATACAAAATACCAGACCTCAATATTCATTTTTGAAATATCATAACTTAATGTAAGAAATTAATGGTAATCTAAATTTTTGGATTTCAAACATGGAAATTGTGCTCACTGCTCAGTGCTCGGCACCGTTGAGACCTATAAAAGTAAAATATACAGAAACAAAGCAATTTCTTATTTCACAATTAGTTTGAGCATATATGTAACCCGAACCACGTCAAGTAAAATGTTTGAACAATTAAAAAAAAATTGTTCCTATTTTTTAATAAAATAGTAATTCGTCAAAGCTTGTTTTTACATAAATTGTTCAACTTTTTTTTGTCAGAAATAAAGTTTTTAGTAATAGCTTATAAACCATAGTTCCGATGACAATGTGATATCCTAAAACGCTAAAATGTTTGAACTTGAGAAAGGTTTTGCCGCAACTCGTTCTCAAATCTCAATTTTCTGTTGGCCAAGCAAGCCACAAACGCGCGTTTATAGTTTTGGAAATATTTGGGAAATTTATTACATACATGGGTTCATTTTCTGCAAATTAGGCCAACCGCATAATTCATTTCTGTAATTTATAAAACCAACTTACCAAGACTTGCGGACCACCCACCCCGCGCTAAACTGGTGTGTGTCAAAGGCACGCTCACGTTTTTTTTCTTCATTATGACTTAAAAGATCAATTAACCTGATAATTACGATTTAGTAACATTGTGATATACTGACTAGAATCAAGTTAAAATGGCTTCTGATCACTATTCAAGGGAATCAAGATATGGTACTGAAAGATCTGGCCGAAAATCAACCTGTAAGTGGACGTTTATCATCGATTCTTCATTTTACAAGTTGGAACGTTATCTATCCATTGTTTTTTTTTGAGATAAGCATGGGTTTACTAATTCAGTATACATTTTAGTGCCACATTTGGGTCTGTCCTGGTGAACGATTTTTGGACCCCCCCCCCCCCCCCCCCTTCCTATCAATTTTGTACATGA